ACTCACACATTTATTTTTTTGGCAGAAATGGAAACTTGGTGGTCTTACCTTTCCATCAAACCCATAGAAAATAAATTTTGTCAACGCATTATGGATTTGGAGGCGACAATAGTGAAATACGGCACAATGTCCGAATTTAGGGCGCAAGTCCGAATTTAGGAACAATGACTGTACGTGTCCAACTTTTCCAATCGGTTCACTTTCCTTGCATGCTACCGAAAACAGGTAGCGAGGTTTTCGTTTTTTCTTTTCTCTGTTAGTCGTCTGTGCACTATTTCCTTGGTTCTGTGCCTTGTCTGCACTTTGACGTGTTCAACCTGGACTGTAGAGGTGGTTGAGGCGATGCCCTAATTTGGGATTTAATAAATGGTTTAACACTGACCCCACCCTGCACTTGTAACCCCGTCCTGGAAAGCAATCACAACATTAAGCAGCACACATACCACCACCACCAGCCTATAAATAATGCATTAAAGCGTATTAGTGGGGCGAGGCGCAGCACATCAGCATGCAAAGCAAAGCATCGTCAGTCCTATCGCCCTTCCAGGTAGGGGCGCGAGGAGCCTACGCTACGACCTCGGAAGTTGGCTAGTCCAACTCAGCCGTTCCTACCCTGCACTGTGTTCATGTAACCTCATAAATAAATTGTTCACACCAGCCTTAACCCATAGTTATTGTTTCATGAAACAAACAAATTTGTGCACAAACAAATCCCAGAACCACACTGGAAAGGAAACAATAACCAAGAGTTAATGGCAAGGAGGAGTAAGAAAAGAAAGACAGGTAAAACAAGGGAGAAGAAAGCACAAAATTACTTTTGTGGTAAAATGGACACTCGTTCTTAAAGTTGTTCTTAACATTATTGTATTTTCACCTCAAAGTATAGAATATTAGCAAACATAACACTCATTACGATTTGAAAGTGTATTTTTGAAGTTATGAAAATAGAGACAACTACAACAACACTCATCGAAGGGAGGGATGGGGCCGAGGGCGCCGAGGGGCAGCCCAACAATGGGGCCCGAGGCAGGGCCCGAACGGAGCCGAGCGCGGCTGGCTTGGTGGCTTGAGGACTTAAACTGAAAACCATTAAATTTTTTGTTTAGAGTTCTCAAAATAATACTATTAAACATGGAAAAAGTTAACTGTTAAAATTAGCAGCAAGGTTCCTAATCTTGAATAGTAGTACTTTTATGCGAGGGGGCAGTGACTTCTAGTATTCACGGTTCACGAGGGAATTAATACCTTCAGTATTCAGGCGATATTCAGTGATTATTCAGTGATATTCACTATTAGAGTGTATTCACAGTGCACGAAATTTCGGAGTTGGTGCCCCCTCGCTTTTATGTTTGTAGCTGTTGTGTCTTCTGAGCACATTTAAAATGTCCACCAATAAGCTGGGTTCGGGACTTAGCACGAAAATCGGCGAGATTTGTAAAGTGTTCTCAAAAATGTCCCATTAAACTCAAAAAATAGTTCATACTTTGAAGAAACACCGGCATTCCCAGTTTCAAGTGGTGTAAGTGTTAAGTTTGTAGGTATTTTATGTTCTGAGATGAATATGGAATCATGTTTGGTGTTACACTGCACTGAGAACAATACTCGTTCTTCCACCACCGAGCAGGTGTAGGTTGGTGGTAAAGAACGAGTAAAGAGTTTAACACATGACCGTGGAGAAGTTTAGGCACAGTCAATTAAATAAAATAATAAATAGTCCAGAGAAAAAAAAAGAAGTAAAACTCAACAGACGAGACAATTTTTAAAACTTTTCTTTTGCAAATCAAAATTGTGCATTGTTTATCACTAACGGGGTGGTCCAACTTCTCCAAGGGGATGTTTGACGCCATGAAGGCCTCTACAATGTCCGCCTTGAAGTCCTCCTTCTCATTGCAAATGCGCTTTGCGCGGGTGGTGCTTTCGTTCAGTGGCAGCTGTCGCTTCGCTGGCCCAGCACTTTCCGCCCGCTGCTCAGCTGCTATGTGTGATTGGTTTTTGCAGTGCTTGTCAACAGTGTCCTGGCCCATTCGACTCGGCTGTCACAGTGGGTGCAGCGCATGTCCTTCACACTATCCCCAAACTCAACCATACTTTCCTCGGCATACTCTTTACATCTTGATTTTAGAGTCACTTTCTTTTGGAATGCTGCCATGCTTTCTCATTGGCTGAGCGATTAGCGAAGCCTATTACTCCGTCTGGTCGGAAAACACTTTTTCTGTCTGTCTGTCCGTATGTCTGTGTGTGTGTCTGTCCGCACGATAACTCGATAACGAATTGAGCGAGCGACTTGGGATTTTCAGGGTCGTTTTGTGTCATAAAAAGACAGATCGAGTTCGAAAATGAGCATTCTAGCTCAAAAATTGGATTTAACAAAATCAAAAGCAACAGGTCCCAAAAATGACGAAAATTTTGTCCGTTTTGCTCTAGCTTAAACCGTTGAGGCGCTAGAGGGTATTTTTGACGAAAATAAGCGAAAAAATGCACAGCCCTGCATGCTCAGTCGAGGTGATTGGCCGTCGACGGACCGTAGGCCCGTACCCTTGTGTACATTTTCCCACAACCGACTCGGGTGTCAGCGCCGCAGGCCAAGGTAGATGTATGCCAGGCGCGTCGCAGCGTAACCGTGTTTCGTGAGATATCGCGAAGCCTGTTACGCGAGACATGGTCTGGAGTACATCTACCTTGTTTAGTTGATTTCTTCGAGAAACGAGAGATAAGTAGGATATTTCGAGGCTGACAGCAGCAAGGGACTTGTCTTGTATGAACCTGCAAAGGCAATGCTGCCAACCAACCTCAAAATCGCAATGTGGTGGCCATCATACGAAGAGTTGGCGGTCGCTAAGTCTGTCAATAGTCGGTAAAACTGCTAAAAGTGAGGGGAAAACCGTAATTTTCGTTCAATTTCGCTTATATTGTGGCAATTTAGAAATTCGTGAATTTCGCGGTTGCGAGCCAAAATTAGAGTCCAATTTCGCGTTTTTCCGCGGTCGATTTTAGCGTTAAAACGACATGGAAATTCATCACAAACTAAAATCTTAACGTTTTAGAGCATTTGGGCAATTTTCGCGATTTCGTGGATCGCGAAATTTACCTGTCTCTGTGCATCCGCAATGCGCTGCGCATTCTAAAATGTGCATAGCACTCGCATTAAAGGCGCACGATGAACGCGCATGGTAGTACACCTACAATGTGCATTGCAATGCGCATTCGAAAAGTGCATAGCACTCGCCTTCAAGGCGCATTAAAAAATCCTATTGAAAACTTTGACCAGTAAGCGTTCCCGCCAAAACATTGGGTTTTGCTGATGATCCGCCACGACCGATTAGGATACCACAGAGGAGTCTCCACCTAACTCTGTCTGTAGCCTTCTTCACAAGGTGTGGAACAAAACAGGATTTTTCATTTTTCAATATTGGGCTGGCGTGTTCAACGAACCTGACCTCGTGAAAGGTATTCGAACTTGATGTAAAGCAGCTAATGTCACTAATGCGCATATAAAGTGCGTTATGTGCGCATTAAAATGCTTGTGGACGTTCAACATTCGATGTGCATTAGAAATGCGCTTAAAATGCGTTCACTGTAAAAAGTTTTCGTGATTTTACGATAAAATGTGATACGAAATGCTTCGTTAAAATTAATTTACGAAAATTTTTCGTTAGGGCCAATTAACGAAACATTTCGTAAAGTTACAAATATATTTCGTAACGTATGCAAATAATTTTGGGGTCATATGTCACAAAATTTGACAAAATATATGCAAATTTCACACCCCTTAGTTTGAGCTTTGGATTTTACGAAGCAATTCGTAAAATAACGATGTATCGTAATTGGTTAAAAACGAAGTTTTCGTACTAGAAAATTAACCGAGAAAATTTCGTAAAATCACGAAATTTATTTTTACAGTGTTATCTCAATGCGCATTTAAAGACACCGCATTATAGGCATTGATAATGTGTTACATTCGAGGCATCTCCAGCAGTTTCTCCAGGTGAGGGGCCAGGCTGACGTAACCCTTGTTGCGCTGTGTTTCGACGACATTTTTTCCTGGACATTTCAGGTCCTTGGCCTTTCCCTTTTGACAAAAAAAAAGTTTTCCCAGGAAAATTCTAACTCTTGGAATATTTCTGACAGCACAGCTCGTTTCATATTGCCGTAGGGCGCTGTAGGGTATTCCCTCCGCGTAACTAAGGCGCTGTCAACAACGCCCAGCTGTGGCCGTGCCCACCGAACCGCCGATCACGGCCACATGGGCAACAAAGCGCCTGGCGGGTAGGCAACACTCGGCGGCATTCCCTCCGGCGGCCATTTTGGCCAAGCCAGAGTGTCAAGATGGTCACCAAATAAAAAAGGGATGTCAGAATCGTGCTCAGCGTGGTCAAATTAGTCGGGAAAGACACGTCACACGCCACCCTTGAATAACTTTTTAAAAACAGTTTAATAAGTGTGCAAAGGTTGAACACATGTGGTACAGGTACTTTAGCACGTTGCAGTAGGCTTGGGTAGGCCTTGTAGATGACCTTAGGGTTGAGAGTCATGGGCAGGAGTCGTTAGTCGTTATGTATGCCGTTTTAGCACGCAAAAGTCGATTAAACGCATTTTATACGAAGTGTTTCAAAAAAAGTTCAATATCTCGACTCCACACGCAGCCATCGA